TCTGAGTACTTTCTTTTCCAAAGTACATAAATATAAAGTGGTAAAAGTTTTGTTTTTAGCTTATAAATGTAGTTAATCATCTGTTCAAACAATAAAAAATTCTATTTATTAACGGCCAAGAAATGTTAGGGGGTTTTGGTTTTTCTTTTTTTACAAGAGACTCATTTAAGTCAACTGGATGAAATGAATAGGCAGTGAATATCACAATGGTTTAGGGGGGATCATGGCACACCAGTTGATCATGTGGAACCTCAGTCATTAAGTCGTTACTGCCTCCGAGTCTTATTTAAAGGTCATGGTCTTTTTTAAGGATTTCGTTGATGAGGAAAAGAACTACTCGTGTTTGATCCATCCAGCACATGAATGGATGTGCGCTCACTGACTAGCGTGCTGAAGTGTGTTCTCTGCTTGGAATTTGCAGGGCTGAGCAGTGGGTGGGCAATAACGTGCGAGAGCTCTTGTGGGCTACATGAGGATTTGTATTGATCGTCCTGTTCTTACATCCTGTTTTTTATCGTGGTTACAATATATGCAAACACGTCAGGCAATTAGACATGTGAAGACCTGGTTCTGCTTGATGATTTGACTTCCTGCAACTAATAATGAGATTTTTTGAAAGATTTAGTGCTATGCCATTGAATGTAAAAGAGGATCGGAGGCCTGTATGTGCAATGGAGTTAGGTGTGGTAGCTTAAATTTGTCCTGGCATCCTACTTGAAGCCTCTTTGTAAGCACTATCAGCTGTAATCAGCACTGTTGCCAGAAATAACATGGCAGTGTCAGAAACATGGGTGTTTTAAGGGTATAGCCGGGGGACTTGAAGTGTTCACTTATTTGTTTAACTTTAAATTAATAAAGACCCAAAAGATTCTTTTTCTTTGCTGGGTTGTTGTTGAATACTGTCGTTTTAATTCTTTCTAATTTTCTTTATAAACACTGCTAGCATCCAAATTACATATAACTACTTAGGAAAAAGCTAATTGTCTTCGTGGCACATTGAAAATACCCGCTTACGTGCACAATAATGGCCTAAAATGAAATAAATTCACAGCAGGATTCAGAGAAGAGGGAAGAATACTTAATATCTTAAGATGACTTAACCATTGTGTCAGTTAGTGTTATGCCTTCACTTTGAACAATGTGTTCTCTTTCAGTTGCTAGAATTTCTTTTTCTGTTCTCTTTTTCATGATAATAAGGACTAGAAACGATCAACAAAAGTTATAAATTATGCATAGGCTATGACCACTGGATACTACAATAATGATTCCTAGCATAAGAGTGAGTTTTGATTCTCAGAAAGATACAGGATATACAATGATTTTTAAATTCCTGGAAGAGTCCAGTTCTTCATGTTATTTACTACCACTTTCCAGTAAGTCTGTGGCTGTGAGAATAAAGCAAGTTAGGATTGGCACGTATTTGACCTCTGTGGCACCGATTTCTCCTGCACTCAGAGACTGGCTCGTAGGCCCAGGTGCTGGACACTCTTCAATGAAGAGGTGACCCTGAGATCAGACAGTGTTACCGGAAGGAAAAAAGGCATAAATCTAAAAATTAGTAACCCCTATGATAAATATTTTAAAGGATTGCCCTGTTGGAAGCTTCAGTACGTGCTTCACAATGTCATTTAACCATCAACTGTAACTGTATAAAATTAAGAAAATCTTTTCTATTACATTTGTTATCTTAAATCAGAAAATGTATATTCACTTAAAGAATACATTTCTGGTGTATTTCTAAAAACAGACTTACAGGAACCTGTCCTTCACAGGGGCCAGTCCTGTCTGACAGTTCCTTGTTCCTGCCATTATATTGATTGATTCTAAGAAAGACAGGAACCAGTAGTTTTCCTGAATAGTTATAACAATAGTATCAATAATCAGGTTATTAGAAGTGAAGTAATTGTAAAACTTGCAAATGCATTTTAATTTGTGTTGCTTACATTTGTGTTTCTCTTTTTGAACAATTTACATTTCACCAGTCGATTTCAGTGTGGCTTATAGACCAGTTCTGCATGCAGGTTTCTGTACACATTACTGTGCCGCATTGCCTGCATTACAAACACTACTCGTAATTTTTTGCATGTCTTTCCTTCAGAACCTGGAAGTTAGCACTAAACCCTTAGATTTAGCTTTAGAAAAAGCCTTTTTCAGTCTAAAGGAATCCTACCGTGTCACTTTCAATCCCTCCTGTGAAAGTTAAATTTCTTTCTCTTGCTTCCTTTTATGTTCAAAAACTTAAATAATTTATTACTGCAAAGGAATGTGTATTGAATCCAGTAACCAACAGAGGATGTGGAAAGATTTATTGGGAGAAACATTAAGAGCATTCCTGGCCAGGTGCATTTTATTTCTTCTTTGTGAAATGGGAAAAAAAAAAAAAGTTATATATACCTCCAGCCAACTTCAGATATGGCTGGAAGCCCATTTGGAAAACAGTGTCTGTAATGGTGAAGTGCTTCTTGAGACAAACTGAACAAAAAGCGAGGAGGGGCACAAAGAGATTGGCATTGCTGAATAGCAGGAAACCTGTAGCTGGATCTTGAAAGCAACTGCAGTGTTTGCCGCCTGAGTGGGTGTATGCACTTGACTTCTGTTCTCCTTGTACGTTATGCAGAAACTTGTACCCATGGGAAAGGAGGGAGTGAAACCCCTACCAAACTGGAGTAGTGGATTCTGAGTTCCTCTTTGCACCCTCAGTCCATGACAGAAGGTACTGGGGGAGCAGGACTTGAGTACAGTTCTGCACTCCTTGCTTAACTGAATGGGAGGTGCCACTCAGTAAACAGCAAGACACAGCTGTGGTGAATATTTTTACTCTACAACAACTTTTTAGAATGCTAGGAAATAATTTTACTGCATATTAGAATAAATAACATGAATTTGTGAGGAGTGTAATCTTTTTTTGGGGGGGGTGGGGTGGGGAGTGGGGGGCTGTTACAAATTGTAACAGATTACTTATTTGGTGATTTTTAGGACAAAATTCTAGTCGAATACAAATATCATTTTTCCAGAAATGATAAAAGAATCAGGTATAAACTAGCTATTTCTAATTCTATCCAGTTACCTCTCTGGCAGGCATGTTTCCTGTCATTTACTTAAAGCACAAAGTTAATAAGAGCATTATCGTAGAATCAATGGTTTGGGCTGGAAGGGACCTTTAAAGGTCATCTAGTCCAACCCCCGCCCCTGCAATGAGCAGGGACATCTCCGACTAGATCAGGTTGCTCAGAGCCCCGTCCAACCTGACCTTGAATGTTTCCAGGGATGGGGCATCTACCAGCTCTCTGGGCAACCTGTGCCAGTGTTTCACCACCCACATCATAAAAAATTTCTTGCTTATATCTAGTCTGAATCTACCCTCTTTTAGTTTAAAACCATTATTCCCTGTCCTGTTGCTACAGGCCCACTAAAAAGTCCCTCCCCCATCTTTCTTATAAGCCCCATTTTAAGTATTGAAAGGCTGCAGTAAAGTCTTCCCAGAGCCTTCTCTTCCCCAGGCTCAACAGCCCCAACCCTCTCAGCCTGTCCTCATCAGAGAGGTGCTCCAGCCCCCTGAGCACCTTTGTGGCCTCCTCTGGACCCACTTCAACACTGAGAGCGTTACATGGGCACCTTTCCCCTTTCAGTGTTTCCTTCAACCCCAGATTCTTAATCTTCAGCTCCCCTCTGTGCCAGATGAATAGGTAGGTCTCTTCAGCAGAAGCTTTAGTCCTTAAAAAGCAGCCTTTAACATTACAATTTTGTGTAAATTGTTGAAGTAATTTCCTCTGTCTCCATTAATCCACATTTCTTAAGCGTCCTCTACACATTCTTGCTTGATGCAGCATCACAGAAAAACAGTGGTGAAAAGGTACAGAATCAAACTGCTCCATCCTCCTGCCCCAGGCAGGGAGCTGTACCTGCATCCCGTGTTACAGGCAGGCAGCTCTCATGTTACAGGACCCTAATGTTGAGTTTCCTTAATCTGTCCAATAATCTGTTCCATTGTATACCAGTCCTTACTGTTAAAGCAAATTTCCCGACTTCTTATATCCCAGTTTAAGTTCCCTTAAGCCTGTTGCTTCCAGTTTTATCCATCATGCCTATGGAGAACAGCTCTTGCTTTCTCTTTGTAGCTCCCCTTCTGTATTTGAAACTCTTCTAGATTCTCCCTAGCGTTTTGTAGACCTTTTTCTCTCTTGCTTCACATAAATTGTTCCTTCCTATTTCACTCTCCAGGGATGTGCCTGTGCCTGGCTACACCTATTGATATTTTCCCAGTGTGCAAATGAAAATGTTACTGGTAGCAAGAGGCCAACCTTTTATAGTCAATACAGTTGAGAAAACTTGGCAATTAGACAAAGAAGTCTTTCAAATGTGATCTGGAGTGCTCAGTTAAAAGCACAGAATCAAAGTCTCATTTTATTGCTTCTTCCTGTGTTGATCTCTACACTTGCCTATCAAAACCAGACTACTTTTTAAAGTTGTTTGATACAAAGATCAGCCTAAACTACTGAAGCCCCAGTGCTTAAATGCCTTTATGCGTTTAAGTAGTTTGTAGACTACAGGTGGGATTCAGTAGGTGCTTAAAATTACAGGTCTTTAACGATGTTGCTCGATTAAATCCTTCATTCTGTTCTAAAGTTTTCAAACCCAAAATTTTGACTACCTTTTAGATTTTAAAAATCAGTTAGGAATCAAGTGACAGAATCAAGATTCTATTTTGGTGATCTCTGGATAGATGGCATTAATTCTAGCAGTTAAAATACATTCCTTTTTTAAAAAAATAAATTATTTTTAAGTCATTGTGGAGATTGGAAAATGGACATTGCTATGAAATTGTGTTTCCTTAAAATACAAGTTTTAGAAGTTCTTCTAATAAGTACAAATAAATGTTTTTAATTTTTTCAACAATCATATGGTAATTTTGCGTACTTGAAAATTGATTTTAAATAGTTACTTTTTCCACTTTTGTTAACATACTGTCTTTCCCGCTCCCTGTTTTTTTTTTTTCCCAGGACCATTTGGTGCTTCAGGAGACAGTAAATTCTGCTGCTGCTCTTATCATGGCATTAATAAAGGATAGAAACCCGGAGCTCATTGGCCAGCTGTTGGTAGCATAAGACCATTAATCATGTGTAGCTTTTGGAAGTGTTTCTTTTTCATCATCCATTCACCAAAGGTCTTGAATCATTTTACCCTTTGATGAAAACTCTGGATTTATGACATTTACTATTAAGATCTTTTAACAACATATTTTTGATACTTAAAATGCAAGTCTGATGTTATGTATAAAGTGTAAAATGACATACAAATCATTCTGAGATATACTGGGTACATACAGTGAGGAATGATACTGAAACATTTTTGTTAGATACTGAGCATTTAAAAAGGTGCACAGGACACCAAAAGCATTCATGCAGAATTGTCTTTAACCCATGTATGTGTGTTGTACTCTAGAACTGCATGAAGTAAATTTTATTTAAGATAAAATAATGCTAAAGCACAGCTCATCTTCTTTATATGAAATTATTTCAAAAATGCTGCTATACCTATTAGTGAATGTGGAGTTCATTATACAGTGTAGCTTTCCTGACATCAACAGAAATGCAGATTGCAAGAAGCGTTTGAAGGGCCAGGTCCCCGTCCTCCATGGAAGGAAGGTACCCTCGAATCTAAGAAAAGATGTGCACGAGGACAACGAGGTGCTAAACCCCACATTTCCAGGTGCAGTATGCTCTGGCTGTAGCACTCCTTAGTGTTACACTTCTTCCAGTGTCTGAAGACCCATGTGCCACCATTCAGAACCAGCTCCAGTAGCTCCACTGAGTACTGTATTACACATACAGTTTGGGTTTGCACGTGCCTGTACGTGTGTGCAGGTGTGTGCGTATGCATGCTTACATGGAGAGAAAAGGGTTAAGACTGAAAAAAATGTTTTGCAACCCAATCTGTAGGTAATGGAGAAATGGGAAGATTCTGTTAGCTCATCTACAAGAATACAATTTTCATCTCTTGCTAGTTAGTTAGTTAGCATATGTATGTATTAATTAGTAGTGAAGAGGACTGAGTCAAATATGTGCTACGCTGGTACTCAAGTGTGGAAAGTTGGGACAGGAAGGTGACATGGTGAGTGGTTATTATGTGGAGTATCTCCAGGTATCGCAACCACTAAGAGCAGTACAAGAAGAGGACAGTCCCTGAAAACACCTGTCCTGCCCTCTGCATCAGACTCAGGAATTGCAGCTCTCCTTCAGTTTGTAAAGGGGCGAGGTTAATGTCTTAGGAACCTGCCACCGTTGGAATAAGGTCTTAGAGAAGTTTCCCCACCAGAACTGTCCAGTGAGTCCCCAATTCGGTCTGTCCTGAGCCAGAGTCGTCAGTTCAACATTTCCCTCTGAAACAAGCATTCCTCCCTTACTCCCACCATGTTCCACTCCCTCTGGTGCTCAAACAAAACGTAGGATAGCATGATCCGTGCTTTCTCCCCTTTCCTTTCCTCTTTTCCTGACTGCCTACATCTCTTGTAAATCCCTTTTAGAAGCTGATGTTGATCCCAGACTTCACGTCAAAGTAGAGAGTTGGTAGCTGCCTGTTTTGTATCCAAAGCACACGTTTTCTTCCACACAGAAGTCACCTTAAGACAACTAACAAAGTTCTCATGCATCATCTGCTTTCTTCTTTGCTTCTCTCTCGTCTCTGATGAATGATTTGTCCTTTTCTCACATTGGACAACATAAGCGTTCATATTAGCTCTGTGTGTGGCTATACAATAGGCATCTTTTATTCATATATATATATATATATATATATATATATTCATACCTGTTCATATGCAGAGTTCACAAATAAATGAGGAACTAAAGAATTTATTATTGGTATTAATAATTTAACAGGACAGCTTTCACAAATAAGTTTTCTGAATACGCTTTTACGTTAATAAATTTGATGAAGGAATTTGCCTCGCAGGCTTTTAGAAGACATGGTGAAAGATGTCTCTTCACTGTATTTTGTGATTCTTCTTTGCTTGAAAACTAAAATACAATCTGTGATGTGTTTTCCCCAAATAATAAGCAAGTGAATTTAGAAAATCCTTCATGTTTTCTATCAACTAATTTATAAATTTCAGTACTGCCTTAGCTTTGGTTTCTGTGTAACTTCCCATCTGCTGAAACAGAACCTTTTACTCTGTAGGGTTGTTTTACTTATCTCATTCTTTTAAAAGGATTTCAATCCAATTAAAAATATTACTTCAATGAATTGCTGTAATAAAAAATTGTATTATGGTTGTTTATGGACTTATTTTGAAAAGCAAACAGACAATACACAACAAAAAGTAAGTTTCAGGCCATCAAACATACTTAGCACTAATCTTAAGTGGAAGATAATAAGCTTTATTAATGTACTGTCAATCATTACTGGATTAAGCATTGTGGATTTTTTTTTTTATCTTTAACAATCTTTTTAAATAATTTGCAAACACTGAAAAATCTATTTTGCTGCAAGCAAATACACCAACAGAACTACTAAAACAGATCATGAAATACTAGAACTGCAGTTTAAAAAAAAAAAAAAAAAAAAAAAAAAAACCAAAACAACAAAACAAAACACCAAAACTGGACTGTGATTAATGCTATTGTGTATCCAAACCAAATTTAAATAGTCTTTTGGATGATTGTTAATACTTACAATGGGAATAAAGATATAAAATGAAATTAAGAAACTGGTTGATTGTTTTTTTGTCTGTGCATAACTTCTCACAAATAGCAATATACATGAGAAACTTGGCAGCATTTTGTACACACATGCTGTTTTGAATTTAACTAGTGAATCAGTCACCACCCATATTGCTTTGAACATTTGGACAGAGATAACACAGAGTAAATAAAAGCTCAGACTCTGCCAGCCTTGCTTACCTTACTCCTCAGGCACTCTAATTAGTATTCCTTGGGTAGTGTTCATCAGGAAAGAGAATACAGAATATTGCCCTTGAAGTGCTTTTCATAATGCTTGGCTCTAAATTGGAGAGACATGGATTTGACAGATGAACCATTCAGTGGACAAGGAATTGGCTGGATGGCCACGCTCAAAGAGTTTCAGTCAATGGCTCGATGTCCAAGTGGAGAGCAGTGATGAGTGGCGTTCCTCAGGGGTCGGTGTTGGGACCGGTGATGTTTAACATCTTTGCTGGGGACACGGACAGTGGCACTGAGTGCACCCTCAGCAAGTTTGCTGGTGACCCCGAGCTGTGCGGTGCGGTCGCCGTGCTGGAGGGCAGGGATGCATCCAGAGGGGCCTGGACAGGCTGGAGAGGTGGGACTGTGTGAACCTCATGGAGTTCAACAAGGCCAAGGGCAAGGTCCTGCCCCTGGGTCGGGGCAATCCCAAGCACAGATACAGGCTGGGCCATGTGTTGGGGGCAGCCCTGCAGAGGAGGAATTGGGGTTATTAGTGGCTGGAAAAGTGACTGTGAGCCAGCAATGTGTACTCGTGGTGCAGAAAGCCACCCGTGTCCTGGGCTGCATCAAGAGCAGTGTGGCCAGCAGGCTGAGGGGGGGGATTCTGCCCCTCTGCTCTGCTCTTGTGAGACCCTGCCTGGAGTACCGTGTCCAGCTGTGGGGCCCCCAACATAAAACAAACATGGATCTGCTCAGAGTCCAGAGGAGGTCATGAAGATGCTGGGGGGGCTGGAGCACCTCCCCTGTGAGGCCAGGCTGAGAGAGTTGGGGTTGTTCAGCCTGGAGAAGAGAAGGCTCCGGGGAGACCTTATAGCGGCCTGCCAGTGCTTAAAGGGGGCCTATAGGGAAGGTGGGGAGGGACTCTTCATCAGGGAGTGTAGGGATAGGATGAGGGGTAATGGTTTTAAACTGAAAGAGGGCAGATTTAGATTAGATATAAGAAGGAAATTATTCACTGTGATGGTGGTGAGACACTGGCCCAGGGTGCCCAGAGCAGCTGCGGCTGCCCCCTCCCTGGAAGGGTTCAAGGCCAGGTTGGACGGGGCTGGGAGCACCCTGGGCTGGGGGAAGGGGGCCCTGCCCGGGGCAGGGGGGGTGGAACTGGGTGATATTTAAGGTCCCTTCCAACCCAAACCATTCTATGGTTCTATGATAACTGTAAAGTTGAGTGAATTAGCTTTGTTAGATACTGAAACCAACCCACTTCATGCAAAATCTGAAAACTAAATTATATCATTTGTCTTAGATGGCAGAAAAATTTCTAGTTACAATCTTGTTTGTTTAGTTTTCTGGGCTATGTAGCTTCAAAAATATGACTTGATGGGCCTCTAAAACTGGCTGAAAGTATGAAAACGATAGAAGATGTTGGAATTAAAGACAAAAGAACGCAACCCCAAAACCAAACCAAAAAGCAAAGAGAAACAAAGTGAAATGTGACCCTATTGTAATCAGTAGCATAACTCTAGTTGACTTTAAATTGTCACAATGAAGCTCTTAGCTCATCTTGATAACTAATGTAGGCTGCAGAACAAAAAGTGTGCCTGAATAGCTTGAAGATTTTTCTGCATTTAGTTTCAGATTTCTATGTGACACTAGAGCCTCATCTTCTCCACAATGCTGTTCTGGGTGCCACCCAAACAGAAGCTTACAAAGTCATGTAAGGTTCCCAACTACTGCTTAGCACTTTCTAATGATAACAGCAACTTTTTCTGTCTGTAGGTCATTCCACCAGAGAAGGGTCATAGTTTGTTTGCTCTGTTCTCCGTGTCTTGGACACTCGCTACTGGTCACTGCGTTTTGTTCAGGTTTTGCTTCTGAAGAAAAGCACATTACTTCCAGCTATGTAAAAGCTTTTTTATCTCTTATCTCCTTCCTCTTCATAACTTTTTATCTGAAAAATGCTAGTTCATCTTATCAAGCAGCCACCAAGACAATGCATGCTTCCCTTTGTTCTTGTTAAGGAAGGCTTTGGGGTTCAGGAATAAGCTCATATTAACAGTGTTCCTGTAGGAGCCAGAATTCTGGGTGAGAGATACCTTTGACCTGGACCAATGTGACTGCTCTGATGACTGGGACTTATAAATGGCTTGTAGTTGCAAAAACTGTGTGTTATTGGATGAATTGAGCCCTTCACAGCATTAGTAGTGCCTCAACCTTATGTTTTTTAAGATTTCTGATTATTCTTTCTGGTCCATATGACAGATGCACTGGTCTTATTCCTATCTGACTGGAAAAAAAAAAAAAAGTATTTAGTTATTAGATTGATTAATTCACATGCATAGTTTCCTAGATGGTTGATTTTTTATTTTGTGTAGGTAGCAAAAGAATGGTATTCATAGGAATTTCGTTTGTTTCAAAGATCGCTTCTTAAAACCACAACTAATTCTCACTGAGACAGGGAGAGCTGCTGAGACTTGTAAAAAGAATAATATCTTTAAGGGCTCCCATTGGTAAAATCTGTTGTGAAATATTAAGATGTAAATATATATCTTATCTTTATCTTATAGAAATCTGTAACTGTAACACAAAAAGAAGTTCAACTATAACTACATTATTTAAAGCCAGTCTTGAAGGGCTGAATTCTGAGAAACTAAGAAGCTGCTTTCATTATTCCTGCCCAATTCAATCCATCCAATCTTCTGCACCTGGTTTGGAATAATTTGCAATGGCATCCAGGTCGATGACTAATGCTCCACTCTGGGTGCCCACAGTAAGATACGAAGGCAAAGCATCAAAATGGGTTCAAATTTTTGTGCCCCTAATGCCTGTATTTTCAGCTTCAGACTGGTGAGTTTTTATGATGTCTATCTCCCTTGGCCCATTCCTCAGCTCGGTTGTTTACCACAATTCAGTTTGTCTTGTGCTTCTGGCAAGCACCAAGGGAAAAAAGCAGTCACTGACACTGCATTTTTCCCAGTGCAAGTTGATTTTGATTGACAGGGCTGTAAAGCACTTGTCGAATATACGTTTTTCTTGGTTATTTATTCCAGGAATATTCAATTAGTTTTGAAATCTGAAAAACACAATTTCAGTACCTATGCTGAGGAAAAAGTCCCAACTGTGAAAATATGTTTACGATAGAACATGCTCATCTTGCGTACACCAACCTGGGGAGCAAGGTAGCATTTCTTAATATATTTATTTCCAGGTTAATATAGGCATGCTTTTCAATCTTTATATTGAAATGGAGCTTGCCTTTCATCCTGCACATATTCCTGTCCCAGAAACTGAAATTATAATTCAGTTAAAATGCCACAACAGCGAATTAGAACACAGTTACAACGATAAGTGAGAGAGTAAGAGACTTGGACAAGGAAAAAGTGATGTGAATTTAAATAAGATGGAGAAGCAAGGAGGCAAGAGAGAATATACCAGAGCTCCTCCAGATGGCAAAATCTTCTAGAGGAGACCCCTTGAATGGCATGATATGCTAAGGGCTGCAGGCAGGAAAGCCTTCCAGGCTCAGGAGCACCTGAGTGCAATAAGGTGTTTCCCTATTCAGCAGCCATTTTAGATAATTGCCTTCCTTGGATAATTATTTGTTGTTACTTTCTTTTTCATTACTCTGGCTCTTTCCTTTTGTTTCCTTGCCTCAACCCAGCCCTGTCACTTCAGACTTTATGCTTCCTTTCCATTTCAGCCATTTCTGTCTTCTCCCGCGCTCATCTCCCATCCTTTCCCCTACTTCTGTTACTTGTTCTTTCTCTCCCTATGTGTCACTCTCTTTCCATTCCTCCCAGCCCACCATCGTCGAAGGAGACAATCCCCCCCGCTCCCTTCCCCTGCAAGCCAGGCCGTGGTCTGGCATCAGAAACCCTTCCTCGCTCCTGGATCGAGAACTGAGGCGTTTGGGCTTTGGCACCTCCGCGCTGCTCACAGCTGGGACTGAGAACAGATGTCACTTCCGCTGCCAGCTGCAGGCAGATGAGCAGCAGCTGCCCGAAGGGACAGACCTCCTGCATGGCAGCTGCTGGGCCGACACTGAATGCCGCTTGTTAGCTGGAGTCAAGCTGCAAGCAGAGCTGTCCCACTGAAGGGGAAATAACCCACTCCAAGGTCAGCCCCCCCCCCCGCCTTCCCCTGCTTCAGTAGCTGAACTTTGGGTTTGTAAAGTTAGCACCTAGTCAAGGAGCCAGATTTGCAAATCTATCAGAATCACAGAAACAGCAAAAAGCGAAAGAAAAGAGAAGCCGCCAAATCCAGGTATGGCTTGCAGTCCTGGCGACTGGAAAAAGTGTGTTTTCACTTACTAACCAGTGGCTTTGCCAGGAGTTGCTCAGAGACAAAAACTGAGGAACCCCACGATGCTGTGTTAAGCAGTTCCTTTCCACAGCAGAGACACAGCCTGATTGAAGTCCCATTGAAGTCAATGGGACTGAAAGTTCCTTGCAGTGCACTCAAGAATGTGTGGCATCTCCTCCCTCCAGCTATCTTCAGCTAATTCACACATAACCATGCTGGTTATGCTGGGTTGTTGTTTTTATTATTATTATTAGTTAATTATTATTATTATTATTATTATTATTATTATTATTATTATTATTATTATTATTATTATTATTATTATTATGCAGTTTTAAGTATGTATTTATGCCGTGCTCAACTCCCTTGCCATTTGATGGGGGAACATTATGGTCTTGATTAATGCCAACTATGTTTTGGTGTTTAGTTGTTAAGACTCCAGCTTAATCACCCACAGGCCCGTGGTACATGGGGTTATAGGGGCACTTCTGGAGGGCAATTCAGGTTTAAAATGTCT